CTCCTAGGTGGTAGTGGCACTGAGAGGATAGGTCATGGTATGTTTCCACACACGTACGTGTACATATACCATATATATTTGCCTATATATATATAACCCCATGTCCTCCTTGGTGCGTTGAGGGAGCGAGGAGAGGGAGGGTGATAGTGCTGGAGATAGTGAGGGGGATGGATAGAGCTTGTCATAAATAACTTTCAAGTTTCTTAATACCATTTTCAGTATACTTCCACACCCAGTCTCTGAGTGCGTAGTACGACGAACTCAAACAACAATAGGAAGGGAATCAAGGAGTGGAATGTGCAGTATGGGTGCGTGCGTGTGTAGGGGCTGTAGGGGCCGAAATTCTAGGAGTTTCGGGAAGTGTTGCCGGGAGAACGCAGCCTGAAGTCCGGTCAGAGAAATTGCAGCACACAAATGTAACCGGATAAATCTTAATGCATGACTGTGCATTTGTGACAAAAATCTAAAATGAGAAAACATGATGAAGATAATAACATGAGCAACTGAGAAATGCGAGGATAGGGCAATGGATGAACAAGGATTACAGACTGTACCGTGAATCTGTTACGTGTGCGGATGAAAGAACAAGCGAGGAATGCACTAAAGGGGAAATCCCGAATAAGCGACAACCATCGAGGGATGTCCCTCTGAACACGTTTTGTTGTGCAGAATTACTGTGCATCTCTTTCTTGAAATGCGTGGAAATTGTCGGTGGGACTTGTAGATTCACGTTGACTTATTGATTGGCTCCCCTTCAAAGTTTCAGTGCTCAAGATCTTGCCCATCAACAAGTGTCATACGTGGTCATACGTGGTTGTGTCATAAGTGTTAGTCCGCAATGTTGTTAAAAAATGCGTCCGTATAGGAATCTGTAAGGGACTTCGCTAAATCGGGCCCTGAAAAACGGGTTGCGGAAGTACCTATGTTTAATGTATTGAAGGGTATGAAGCCTGAAACCCCACTTCTTGAACCGCCTCAAGCCAGTGGCGTCATCCACGTCAGGAGTAGTGTACATAGTCCAACATGCAGGCCTTCTGAATCTGCAGGCGATATAGTTTTGTCCGTGCTAGAGGCTGGAGAGGAGAGGAGAGGGACATCCCTCGATGGACGTGTCCCCAGATCCCGCTTTCGCTTCCTTTCCGTCCCTCCTGTCCTCCGCGCCTACCGCACCATCAGCACACGGAAGTGCCACTTCCATGGGAGACGTTACGTAGTGGTACTGTACCAGCGTAAATGAGCTGGCTTGCACGAATATGTACGTCTAGCTTGACGGAATCAACCAAAGTCTTTTAGCCGGTCGGTGACGTCGCCGTTTCACGCGACGTTTCGCGCTCGCAGAGCGCAGGAGGAATCCGTGCGCTCACTGTACTGTATAGCACACAACCCTCAGTTCCCCAAGCGTGCGAGATAGTCATACATTCAATGCGGTTGAATGCGGCGCGTGGGTTGAGAACCCGTTTTCGTGCGTCACCGACTATCATGCGCATCAGAAAAGAATATTCAGAATTCAGTAGATGTGCTATCGGGACACGCCTTTCACGCCACGCCCTTTAGCTGCTGACAGGTGGTGGTAACCCTAAAGCCGGCAGGCACAGCACCTTCCGCAACATTCCGCCACTTCCACCGTATCAAACCACACCGTGCCACGGTGGTTGATCCCCTCGATTACTAGCCCTCATCCATATAAAATCCCAATCCATTCCAGTTTCAAGTATCGCTCGTAGTACTATCATCATCGTCGCAGCCACCGCGGTAACCGCAGCGGTTGCACCACGCATACCCTCATTACTACCATGGCCTCCGTCGCTCGCCCGCCGACCTCTCGCACCAGCCACCGCCGCTCCGCCTCTTCCCGCTGCTTCCGCGCATCCTATCCGCTCTCAGCGCTGCTCCTCGCCGCGTGCTGCCTCCTCGCGCTCTCCCCAGGCCGCGGGGTCCTGCCCGTGGCGCGTGCGACGCCGCAAGTCCCGTGGGACAACTTCAAATCGCCGTGCACGCCGCTCTCGGACCCTCCCCCCGCCGGTGCGTCACTGCCCGCGGTGACGGTCATCCACCGGGACGGCCGCCGCGAATTCCGCGGTCTACCGCGGTCCAACGCAGTCTAATGCAGTCCATATAAGCGGCACTTGGTCGCCTCTCACCTGGTGTTACAAGCTCGTTTCTGATCCGTTCTTGTCTGCTCCTCTCTCCCTTCCTCCACCCTCTCCCTCCTCCCTTTCTCCCCACGCTCCTTCCTGTTCTTTCATCCCTTGCCCCCTTCTTCCCCCCTCATTCCCCTCCTGTTCCCCTTCTCTCCCCGCGTGTTTGTTCTGGCCAGGTTTCAAGCTGTGGAGCGATGCGGGCACGTGGCCGGGGGGAGTGGTGCCGGGCGTGGGGGTGGGCAAGGGCGCTAGCGCCACCATCCCGTGCGGCGTGGCCGTGCTGCTCAACGTGCCGTCTGTCGTGCTCTCCACCCTCACCATCCGGGGCATGCTCAAGTAAGCTGGAGGGATGAGGAGTGAGCAGGAATGAGAGGAAGGGACGGAATGGGAGAGAGAGAGTGGATGGGGGTTCCTCTTGGAGGGATGATGCTTGACGCTCTAGCATTCTCCCCTTCCATCTCCATATTCCCCGCACTTTCTCCCCCCCTTGTCTTCCCCGTCTCCCCACCCCCCTTCCTGCCCCCTGAGCCCCCTTGAATCTCTCTTGAATCCCCCCGGAACCCCTCTTGAATCCTCCCCCTGCCTCCCCCGATGTGCTATTGGCAGAATCGAGGACACGGCGTCACGGCCGGTAGTGGCGGTGAATGCGTCGTTTGTGATCGTGGAGGGGCAGCTGATCGTGGGCAGCAGCGCCAAGCACTTCTCTCAAAAGGCCATCTTCACGCTCACGCACAACCCCAACGGCCGTGCCCCTTACCAATACACCGCCAACGCACCCGCTGACCCCGCCAACCCCCGCAACTTCGGCCACAAGGCCTTCGTCGTGGTGCGTGCCGTGCCGTGCTGGGTGTGCTGCTGCTGCTGCTGTGACGTGGGGGCTGCTCTAGGCTGTGGGCTGTTGCAGCTTGTGTGGTGGCGTGGTGTACTGCATCATACTGCGCTCTGCTGTGCAGTGCAGGGGCCGCCCCTACCCTTCCCTCTCTTCCCCCCCCTCCGCTTCCGATCCCCGTCCTCATCCCCATACCCACCACCCTCACCCCGCCCACTTCATTCTCAGGTGGGAGGGCAGGTGAGCATGCACGGCATGCCGGGGGGCTCCTCGACTCCCTCCTGGTGCCGTCTGGCAGCCACAGCACAGGAGGGAGATCGGGCCATCCTGGTGGACCGGGACGTCACGGCATGGCCCGTGGGCTTCTATGTTGGCCTCGCCTCCACCGACTTCTATGCCGACCAGATCGACGTCGCCAAGATCGTTCGCGGTGAGTGAGTGTGAGTCGCCTCCTGTGCCTCACCTCTTGAGCGGCTGCAAGAGAGTTTGAATCGGCCATGTGTCGTGTGACTCTTGAGTTGCGTCCACTCAAAAGTCATCTTGGCTTCACGCCACGCCACTTCCCTCATGCCAGCCGCTTTTGTGAATCCGAAAATTAACCGAAGTTTGCATCCTCCTCATCACTCGTCTTCCCCTTGCTGCAGTGACGGCGGTGGGTGGCAACAAGTGGAAGGTGGCGCTGAGCGCGCCGCTCTCCTACAGCCACTTCGGAGAGATGGTTCCAGACGGGTTTGGCGGCACGATAGACGAGCGCGGGGAGGTGGTGCTGCTGAACCGCACAGTGGCCATTCGAGGGGAGGACGAGGCAGCACCGCACAACTGGGAGGGTGGGCACTTCATGGTGTTCTTCACTCAGACCGCGCAGATGATAGAGGGCGTGGAGTTTGCCCAGATGGGGCAGCAGGGGCAGCTGGGGCGGTACAACATCCACTTCCACCTGTGTGGGAACCAGGCGGGGAAGAGTGTGGTGCGCAAGAACGTCATGCATGACAGCAAGCAGGTGGGGCTGTGTGCGAGCCGTGTGCTGTGTGCGAGCCGTGTGCTGTGTGCAGCGCTAATTTCACAGCAGGCTTGCCTGTGAACGTATATGCATCCTTCCTCCTGAATTCTTTCCACTACGCGTCCACCGACTATCCATCCCTCCATCCTCATCGCCTCCCCATCTCTCCCCACCTTCTCCCATGCAGCGCTGTGTGGTGGTGCACGCAACCTTCAATCCTCATCGCGTCCCCTTCTCACCCCCCTCCCCCATGCAGCGCTGTGTGGTGGTGCACGCCACCTTCAACCTGTCTGCCCTTTTGCTCTCACTTCGTGCTCTCACCCCCCCGCCCCCATGCAGCGCTGTGTGGTGGTGCACGCCACCTTCAACCTGTCTGCCCTTTTGCTCTCACTTCGTGCTCTCACCCCCCCGCCCCCATGCAGCGCTGTGTGGTGGTGCACGCCACCTTCAACCTGTCTGCCCTTTTGCTCTCACTTCGTGCTCTCACCCCCCCGCCCCCATGCAGCGCTGTGTGGTGGTGCACGCGACGTTCAATCTGACGGTGGAGGAGAACGTGGCGTTCAACACGAGAGGGCATTGCTTCATGGTGGAGGAGGGGGGAGAGCAGGGCAACTCCTTCATCCGCAACCTCGGCGTCTGGACGCGCCCAGGTGCGTTTTGAGTCGGCATCTGGACGCGCTAAGGTGAGCACACAGCGCTTGCATGCTGCTGATTGCACCACGCTGTGTTGCTTTCTTGCTTTTGGTGTTTTGTTTTTTGGCTGTGCACGTGTTTCACCATCTGCTGTGACCTGTGACCAGTGAGGTGTATTTTCAGGCGCCTCAAAATACACCTCACTGTTTTTTTGGCTGTGCACGTGTTTCACCATCTGCTGTGACCTGTGATGTGACCCTTTCTGTGTTTGTGTGTGCGTGGTCCTGTCTTTCTGTGTGCAGTTTTCTCTCGAGTCGACTCAATAGTTTCAACTCCTTTCTCTCTGTGCGTGCGTGTGTGCGTGCGTGCGTGTGGTTGTGTGACCGCATGCATGCAGTGAAGGTGAAGATATCAAGCGATGAGACGGATGACGAGCCATCCACATTCTGGATCACCAACCCCAACAACAACTATATTGGGAATGTGGCCGCCGGCTCAGAAGACACCGGGTGGGTGGCTGTCTGGGTGGGTATTCCTGGGAGCAGAACGGATTGGCAGGCATTCACCTTACTCCCCACCTTCCTCACCCACCCGTCCACCGTCTGCTCACTCCGTTGATTCCCCTCTTCCCTACCCTTCGCTACTCTTCCCTACTCACCTTCCACGTGACTCCTCCCTCCGTGCGTTCATCCCCTCTCCTCCCCAGTCACTTTCTCTCCGTCTATCTTCTCCTCTCTTGCTCCCTCACCTGCCTGCCATCCTACCTGCACGCCATCAGCTTCTGGATAGGACTGAGGGATTGCGTTAGAGGGGATTGTTGACTCAATGGTCGCGGATCAACACGCGCATCCCCATCAACTCAACACCTCTCTCTCCCTTCCCCTCCCCCCCCCTCCCCTCTCTGTGTCTGCACGGCACCAGCTTCTGGCTGGAGCTGAGGGACGAAGTGAGGGGGCTGTCTTCTCAGTGGCCGCTGATCAACACGCTGATTCCCTTCAACTACCACCGCGTGGGCACGTTCGCGGGCAACGTTGCTCACTCGTGTGACACGGGCTTCCGAGACTACCCCGGGGGGTTCATGCCGCGCTTCAACGCCTCCACCCTCGACCAGGACGAGACCTACGTGCGTTGCGTCACCACCACCCACTCTGTAACATGTCTCACCACAACCGCCAATGCCTGCCTGCATGCTCTTTCATGCCTCCTCTGTGCAGTGCCCCCCTGCCGCCCCCTGCCGCCCCCTGCCGCCCTCTGCTACCCCCTGCTGCTTCATGCGTGGCTCATTATGCGTTCCCTGCTCTCTCTCTCCTCTAAAGTGCGACACTCCTACTGTGCGTTCCTGTGCCTGCTTCTGACCATTCTTTCAGCTGCTTCTCGCGCTTCGCAGCTGTGCCCTGCCCTACCTACCCCCTGCCCTGTGTTTCTGGCAGGCTCTGCTCGTCTTTTGACGCACCTAGAAGGACCCTTGCTCATAAGCCCGTGGTGACCATCAGTATGTCCATCCGTGTGCGTGTGCCCCTCCCTCCCTCCCTCCCTCCCTCCCTCCCTCCCATGTGCCTTTCAACTATGCAGTGGGACCATCCAGTATGGGTGACTATCTCGGGCTTCACTTTCTACAAGAACATCTACGCGGGGTAAGTCCACGCTCCACCCAGGCTCCCTCTTTCTTCCTTTTCTTCGCCCTCTTTCCCTTCCCTCCTTGCTCTACCTCTTAACAACTTTTTGCACAATGCACAGCACCCACCCAGCAGCATGTGTGTGCTGTGTCGTGCAGAATGGTGCTGGGTGCCCCACCACTCGTGTAATGAGTGTAGCGAGTGTATTGAGTTGAGCGGACAAATCATTTGTGTAGTAGATGCATCACCCACCCACCTACCCCTTCACACCGGCTGGGCTACCTGACTGCCACGTGCCGCTTAGCGTACTTGCTGCCCTAGGCCAGTCTCACCTCCCCAATTCCGCAATGTCCCCTTGCCCCATCACCAATCTCGAACCAGGTGGCGTTGTTTCACGCCTTCCACACACAACACAACACAACACAGAGTCATAGACTACCTGCCCTGCACACACACTACATGGTGTTTACCCCATCCTCCCTGCGACCCTCCTCCCTTCCTCCCTTCCTTCCTCCCCTCTTCCCACCCCCTCCCTGCAGGGCGTTCATCCACAACACGGACTACGTGGTGTTTGACGGCTTCACAGCAGCGGACAACATGTGGGGGGTGGAGATGTCTCAGGTGGAGGGCATTGTCATGCGCAACCTCAGAGTTGTGGGGCAGACCGCCAACTACGGCAACCCCTGGGATTGCACCGACCCGGACTCTGACGGCTGCGCTCCGGTCTCCGGCTGCAAGTGAGTGCGGGGGAAAGGGAGGGAGGGAGGGAAGGAGGGAGTGAGTGAGGGAGTGAGTGAGGGAGGGAGGGAGCGAGTGGTTGGTTTGCATTCATGCTTTTTCTACTTCAACACTCAGGACCCCACGGTCCTGTTGTGAGAGTTTACTCGTTACCTTTTTGTCCTTCCTCCTGCTCCGCCGCCCCATGTTTACCACACTTCGCTTTTTACCGTCCACGTGGCAGATTCCCATTGGCGAAGGGGCAGCAGGGGCGCAGTGTGGGGGATGGGGGCTGGGAGGAGCCGGTATACGGGCTGGTGTTGACGCAGAGCCCATGGTTCACTGATGGGCTCTTCAACAACGTTGTTGACGGCGCTAAGTGCGTGCATCCATGCATCCATGCATCCATGCATCCATGCATTGGCCTGGGCTGGCACATCACTACTTAGCATGCCACAGCATCATACACTCGCATCTCCTCCTGCCTTCCTCCACGGCCTCATATCGTCTCTCGCGCACCCACCGTGCAGGTTCGCTGGGTTTGACAACACGTGCAAGACGTCTGCAGCGGTGGCAGTTGGGGGGGACATGGGAACGTACTGGAACGCAGGCAACAACTTCAAGGTGCCTCACCGCCCCATCTCTGCTTGCCTCTCATGGCCCTTCACTGCTGCTCTCTGCTCTCTGCTCACAATCGCACCCTCGTCATCATGCGTCATTCCAAAGTACCAAGTGCAGCGGCAGTATCGCGGGATGAAGCATCGCCTCGTGCTTCTGACTCGTGTCGTGCTTGCACCTGTGTGCGTGCACCCGTGAACCGTTGCTGCTTGCTCGCACTCCACAAATTCAAATTTCCCTGCTGCACTAACAGATGGTTCATTTACCTTTTTCTCCTGCTGCTCCACCCATCACAGAACCTCAAGTTCAGCACTGCAACGCGGACCAACCCAGTGTTCGTCCAGCCTCGGAAATACCCTTCCAGGGTGAGTCGCCATGCCACATCAACCCCGCACCACCCCTTATGTGCTCGCCGCACTACCACGCACGCCACACTACCACGCACGCCACACTTCCACGCACGCCACACTTCCACGCACGGAGTGGTTTAGATGGTGATTACGAACGCCCTCCCCTGTCCATGCTTCTCGCCTCACAACCCTGACATCCCACACACTCAGGGCACTGCTGCTTCCCACCTGCACTATTCATGCACCCTCTCCCTCAACGCTCAACCCCTCTCACCCGTTGCCCCCCTCTGGAAGTACCCTTGGCTATGCTTGTATCACATCTCTTCTCAGACGTGATACCAACATGCCCTAGGCACTACAACCAGTACGACGCGACGAGTCACAGTCCCAGCCATCTCTACTCGCAATCCTGCTCTCTCAAACGGTCCTTTGTATTAATCCTGCTCTCTCACCCTCTTCTCCTCCCCTCCCTTCTCTCTCCCTTCCTCCTACCCCTGGGCAGTACGACTCGTCGGAGACGGAGGACCATGGGGAGGCACAGACACAGGTGGCATTGAGGGACATGGATGGCAGCATACTGGGATCAGTGCTGGGCAAGTCCTCTGCTCGGAAGAACAGGCTCCCTTCTGCTGCCGCTGCCGCTGGTGATGGCGCTGCTGCTGCTGTTGCCGTTGCTGTTGCTGCTGATGGTGATGGTGATAATGCTGATTCCGCAAGGCCCAGTGCTGCTATCCCTGCGTCTCTTGGCAGGCTTGTCCTGCCACGGAAAGCTTTCCCTCTGCACCACCATCGCCTGCTAGCCGCCTTCACTTCTGCTGCTGCTGCTACGACTGCTGCTCAGCGTGCCTCTCGTCATCGCCGCACGCACCGTATTGCAGCTTCTGCTGCGGCCACTGTCTCTGCTCTCAAGAAATCCGGCGGCCGTTTCAGCAGCCGATCTAGCAACTACGACACCAGGCCCCGCTCACGCAAGAAGCACTCCCGCGCTTCCTTTAGAAAGTCCGCTTCTTCTGCCCACTCGCTTGCCCGCTCCTCCTCCTCCCCCTCCTCCTCCTCCCCCTCGTCCTTCTTCTCCTCCTCCTCTCTATCCTCCTCCCCTCGCACCAGCAACTCAAAGAAAGCCACGCCCATTCCGACTGGCTTCCTAGTCGCCAACAACAAAGCGGTCCTCCCTCCGCTGACCCCCTCAGGCACGTACGGCTCGTGCAAGCCCATGCCAGGAGTCAACCTGTACGCGTGCCCCTCGCCCGCACACTGCTTCCGCACCGTCAACGTCCGCTACCTTGAACCCGCCACCGCAGCCAACGTCAACCGCACGCAGGCCCACGGCGTGATGAGCTTCATCAAGGTGGTGCGTGCGAGTGACGGCGCGGAGCAGACGTTCGACGGGAACTCAGACCACATTGAGCTGGAAGAGGGTGCGAAGAAGGCGGAGCGGACGTTTGGGTTCACAGCGCTGGTGGGGGAGGTGTATGTGGTGGAGGTGGTGGGGCCACGTGGGGAGGAGGAGTGGCAGCCGGAGGAGGTGGATGTGTACTTTGGGGATGGCGTGGATAAGGACTTTGCGGGGGGCTGTGCAGGCGCTGTGATGGTGCGATTCAAGGCGCCTGCCGGGGGGGACACACAGTGGGCCCCCAGGATGGCAGATAACGCCGCGTGGCGGTAAGGCTTTTGAAGCTTCTTTTTACTCTCTCAGATTTTCTCCTTTTTCTTATTCTCCTTTTCTTTTCTGTTTAGATTTTTTTGTTATCTTTATCGCTCTCCGATTGAGCAATCCATATCTTACATTGTCATTCCCCCTCACGTGACGTCTCCTCTCTCTTCTCTCCTCCCTCCTCTCCCACCTCCCCGTGGCTCCTACCTACAGGCCCTGTGCAGGCACCACTCAGCGTGCAACCGCCCTGTTCTCATACGAGTGCGATGCAAAGTCAGGGCGGCAGCAGGTGCAGGTGGTGCTGTCAGGCGATGTGGACTACTACCTCCCTGCCACCCTCTATGTCACCCAGAACCCCCCTGCACCCTGCTCCACCCCTTCGTGAGTCACACGCTGCCACACCACGGCACGGCATGGCATGGTACAACACAGCACAACACAGCACAGCACTGCACACTACGCCACACCACACCACGCCACCCGACGCTTCCTCCGCACCCCGTCTTCTCGTCCCTCGCCCACTCCCTTCCAATCGATCACCCACCCCGTGCCTATCCTGAACTCTCTCTCCCTTCCCCTCTTTCCCTCGCAGCCGCTGTGGCCTGCTGGCACCGCGTGCAGTGTGGCGCTACAACCAGCAGGGCGGCGAGCTACATGCTCGCTACCCCGGCGGTCCAGCCTTCTACAATCCAAGCTTCAAGGACTCTTCCTGGCCCTCAGGCCCTGCCCCGCTCGCCTACGTGGATTGTAAGCACTTGCATTCGCTCCTTCTCGGTACTGAGCGGTGGGCTGCGGTGTGGTTGAACCATCTTCTGCTGAAGCTGCTGCTGCTGCTGCTGCTGCTGCCGCCGCCGCTTATGCCACTGTTGTTGCTGCTACTTCTGTAGCTGCCGCTGCTGCTGCTGCTGCTGCCGCCACCGCCGCCGTCACGGCTGCTGCTGCTGCTGCTGCTGCTGCTGCTGCCGCCACCGCCGCCGTCACGGCTGCTGCTGCTGCTGCTGCTGCTGAAGTTGCGATCTTCTTCCGCTGTGTGATTGAGCCACCTGCCTCCCATGTCATGTTTGCCCTACTTCATTCACTCGTGCTTTGGTCCTTGCTGTCTGGCTGCCAACATGGGACTGACGGGGACATGGTGGGCACGCTCCTCTCAGAGCCAACATGGGACACCTCCTCCCCGCATACTACTTCCGCGTATCGAGGCGTCTCAAAACTACTCTTCTTCTCCCTAATTCATGCCAACAGACGAATGGGACATGGTGGGCACGTTACTGGCGGAGCCGTCATGGAACAAGCGAACCACCTACTACTTCCGCACGTCCTTCTCCCTCACCAACTCCGCGTGCGTCTCGAGCCTGCTGCTGCAAATGCCGGTGAACGATGGTGTGATTGTCTACATCAACAACCGTGAGGTGCTGCGCCTCAACATGCCAAAAGGGGCCGTCTCCACTTCCACCTCCGTACGTCGCTCCCTCGCCTCTTGCCTCACCCCTCTCGCTGCACCCCTCTCACCTCATTCCGCCTTGCACAGCAGCGAATACAGTCGTGGAGCTCGTTCACCCGTCCACATATCTCTTCCCGTTCCCTTTTGACCCTCCGCGCAGGCACTGTCGGATAAAGAGGCGATCAACGACGACGGCGATGACGACAGGTTCATCTACACAGACGCGACAGTGAAGCTGGGGGGGGCGGCAGCAGCGCCGGTGCTGACAGACGGGGTGAACGTGGTGGCAGCAGAGGTGCACCTCAATCAGGACGACGGCTGGGACATCGCCTGGGCTCTGCGCCTCTCTGCTCTCCCCTCGTACGTGCCACAACAAATTCCTGTGTGTTGAGCATGGGACGTGTGGCACACGCCTGTGTATCTGTATGGTTACTGCCTCTTACTCTCCTCACTTCTCGCTTGTAGACTTTGCTGCACGATTGGCCCAGGAGCTCTGTGTCTCACCCGCCTCTCCCGCTGCCTCCTCTTCTGCTCTTCCTCCCCTGCTGCTGCAACCCCACAGCTCAACTTGCCCTGGTCGCTGATTGGTCATCGCTGATAGCTGGTGGCTGCAACCCCTTGTGGTTGAGGAGCTGCACGAGGGGCAACGAGAGGGCGTTTCGTGCTTACCACTGCCGTGGCCAGTCACTTGGTTTCCATTGAGGCTACTTTTGAGGCGCCTCAAAAGTCACTTGGAGGCTACCATTGAGGCTCTCTGGAGTGGGTGGATGGATGAGTGCGTGTGTGAGTGGGTGGGTGGGTGAGTAGGGGGGTGAGTGGGTGGGTGGGTGAGTGAGGGAGTTAGGGGGTGGGTGTGTGAGTAAGGTGAGGTGGGTGCGAGGGTGCATGCGAGGGTGCATGCGAGGGTGCAGCTGCCAAGACCGTGCTAGCCTCTGTTGATGGTGCTCCCTTTAGACCAGCCACCAGCATGTGTGCTGCTGGAGACTGTGAGGTGGTAGTGGCACCAGGGGGGCGGTCATGGGTGTGTGCGGGTGAAGCTTAAGGGTGTGTTAAATTAGAACACATGTGCATGTACATACATATATATGTATATTGTATATGTCATATCTATGTCCTCCTGGTGCATTGGGACAGGGAGCAGGGAGAGAAAGGGAGGGAACTGCTAGAGAGATGCTGAGGGAGGGTGGATAGAGCGTGCCTCTGATGAGTTCCAAGCTTGTTCAAACCATGTACCGGTACCCCATACTGTGCCCATAAGCAGCACTAGGAAGGGAGAAATTCAAGGTGTGGCACGAGCAGTATGGCGGCGTAGAGTGTGTGTCCCTGCCGCGGTCCATGCATCAAGGGTGCTTGACCTTCTAGTCTGCATGCATATGGAAGGAGTAGCCTAGCGTCTCTTGATGACAGCCTACTGTATCTTTCCTGCGGTTGTGACACTCGCTTCCATCCATCGGGGAAGCTAGCTATGGAAACAAAGACTAGTGTAAGTGGTGGCGAATAGGTAAGGGAGCCCGCAACAAAGTCTTAGCTTGGAGAAATTCCAGCATTACGACGTCAGATTGCATAACTTCTCAACCTACGCTCCCTGCAGTCAACTTCGTTTCGTCAACTAGTATTGGAAACCGCTTTCTACCGTGTGGAACCGTCTTGAGCCACGATACAAGTACGGTAGAAGTGCACAAGTTGCCTCGAGGAGGAGGTGGGTGTGGGTTGCTAGTAAGTGAAGCAGATTGGTTGAGTACGGTGGAGCGGGCGCAAATCTTGGGTGTGCTGCGATCCTACCTGTCAGGTTTCCGTAGGTTAGTTGGCTGCACATGTTACTGAAGCTTTTGGTTTGATGCCTTCCGAGCCGCATGTGGGCTTCATTGGTGCTTTGTTTCCACTTCCACTGCTGCCCCTGCAGCAGTGAGAGCAACCGACACAGCTCATTTGGGTACATCTCTGCTCCGTACAGTTGCAGCTGACCCATCTCCGTTTTTTCTGTTGGCCCGCCCGAGCCCGACAAGTCCCAATCTAAAGAATTGCTGCCGCTGAGCCATCAGCGTTCTACACTGTACTGAACTGTACTGTATTCGCAGAAATTGGGCTATTGTTAGGGAAGGGGGGAGTGTGGGATGGGGTTTTGGAAACAACGCGGATCCTGCTGAGGCACCCAAATTGCCCTCATGTGCGAACCACGTTCTCTCCGCTTCGCGCAATGCCGTGCGTAGCACTCCGCCTCCGCGCGCGCCATCTGTTTTGCAAAACCTGCCGAACCCCGCGTGCTCGCCGCGGAACCAGCGCAAGCACGATTTCACGGACCAAATAGCAAAGGTGGTGGTGGTCCCAACTTTCGTCACTTCGCTGATGACGGTCGTCACAAAACCCACCACCATTCGTCCATCAAACCCCAAGGACCCACGCCAGCCCATCATCCTTACACAGCCATTACAGTACCCAGGTCCCAGAGCCCAATCTTCGCCGCTCCCTCATCCATTGAAGTTGCAAACCCTCCTACATTCTCCTAGAACGGCCACGTAGCCGTTTATTTTGGCGCGAACTCCAGAAGCACGCGACTCGAAACTGGGTCAATTCTGTGAGGGACGTCTCCTGGTCCACCGTCGTCAGCGTCACTTGCGTTCCTTTCCAGGTTACCTGCGCTTCAGTCAATCCCGTCGAATGCAAGCATATAAGTCAGCACGTCCCTGGCTCCACATTTTAGACGCCGATTACCCCGTTCACGATTTTCAACCTCCCTTGTGCAACTCGACGTCCACGATCCGTCTGCTTCACGACTTTCAACATCGGTCGATTCAAGCTTGTCTGCTGCTGTTTGGCACATTGCACGAGCATCAAGACTTCCACCTTTAAGGTGAGCCATAATATTTCCTTCATCCGTTTTATCATTACTGAGCGTACCTTTTTTTTCGTTTGCATGTTGAACTTGTACTGATTCGCGTTTTTATCCTTCTTCTGCAGAAAAAGGTGGAAAAAGACATTCAACGCTCGCGGTTGCCATCGTAGCTTCGCTCTGCACCCATCGACATTCGTCACCCTACTGCGCAACGGTCTGAACTCTCTCAAGACGCGCAGCAGTCCAATTCGAGACTTGAAGCCACGACGTCAACCAACATTCAAGAACTGCTACTTCATTTACAGATAAGTATAAAGTCTTCCTTGATTCTTCCAACTTCGTTTTCCGCTCATCGTATCCATCATCGTTTTTTTGTCATGCTGGAGCCGCTTACCGCCACTGCTATAGGAGCCACTCCCCTTAGATGGTTTAGTTTTTTTATCAGGTATTCTCTGGTGAGTTCTTCAGGTTCCCTATTGGTATTTTTGGTACTTGGCTCCTGTAGCAACGGTGTTAAGCGCTCTTGCATGGTGTTGCTGCATACCCGTACCACCCATCATGCATATTCATACCCTCCTTGCCCGGATGGACCTTCTACTGTTGTGTTTACTCACTCATTCTCACTCTGGTGCCTTTCAATGGCAGATGCGCTTCTTTCTTGGACGCCATCGAAAGCAACGCGACGCTCAACACGTTAATTGCTACGGTCCAGGCTTCAGCCTTCAGCCGCTTCCTGGAGCCAACACAGAAGCAGCGGAGCCAGCTTCCAGCTTCAAGTCAAGATCCATTTTGAAGCTAAGTATCTCTCGAACCTTGAGTCGTTTCTCTGCTCATTTACATCATGCATCATTTCATCATTTCATCTACCTTACGCATGCATGTATGCTTGAGAGTTGATCACTCACCACATGAGCCATTCCCCTTAGGTTTTTTGGTACAAGGTACTTCTCTCTGGTGAGATCTTCAGGTCCCTTAAGGTTTTCTCTGGTACTTGGCTCGTGTGGTTGTGGTGTTTAGCCCTCTTGCATTTATGCTACTCCCTACCTACCATCCATCATGCTCATGCTTACATGTCTTGGGATTCCCTGGACATGTGTAATAACCAGTTTTTTCTCTTCCTTTCAATGGCAGGTTCATTGGCAACCGAGGGAGCCTAGCTGGCAGATCTACGCTACATCAAGACCCAAGGCCCAAGGTCTACCCTTTGATCTAAACACCTTCAGTCCCGAAATCCAAGGTAAGGCTTGCAAGTTCAAGTTATAGATCTCGTTCAGCTTTTCAACCTTCACAGACTGATGCTTCCTTGTTTTTTCTATGCAGGTTCCTCCACACTCCTCTGCTGCCTTTCAATGGCGGATGCGCTTTTTCCCTGGACGCCTTCGTAAACAAGGCGACGCTCTATTGTCCAAGCTTCAGCCTTCAGCCGCTTCCTGGAGCCAACACAGAAGCAGTGAAGCCAGCTTCCAGCTTCCACACGCCAAGTCCTGAAATCCAAGGTAAAACTTGCAAGTTCAAGTTGTAAATTTCGTTTAGCCTTTCAACCTCTACTAATTGATGTTTTCTTGCCTTTCCTATGCAGGTTCCTCCACACTGACGCTCTCCAAAAGCCACTCGCGTCAAGTATACAAGCAAGCAACCCAGCTTCCAAGCCTTTCAGCGTAAGCTTCTTAATTTCAGCCCTTTCAATTCGTTCTTTCATCTTACCTTCACTGACGTCTCCTTGTTTTTGCTCTGCAGATAAACCGTTTCACAACTGAGCGCTTGAACAGTTCCAACTCCTTGGAACATGCAGCATCAACGTTCAAGATCCCCAAGGTAGTGCTTTTGTAGTCTTGAACCTTTCCTTGTTCATTTTTTGTTCTTATCTTGACTGACGTCTCCACCATTTTGTTTCTGCAGGTACTTCACCACTGAAGCCGTCCAACAGCCAAACGACTCTCAAGACCTTCCAACAATCAATCATCTGAACAATCTATCATCTCAACATCCACGCCCACCAAGGTAGTGTTTTCAACCTTCAGTTTTTCGTTTTTGTTTTCACACCAGCTGATTATTTCCTTTTTCACTCTGCAGGTACCTCAGCAGTGGAGGACTTCGTCCAACACACTCCACTCAAGCCTTCAAACTCATCACTTTGAAAGCTGAGACTTCAAGGTACAGTTGTTAAACTTTCTGCATTTCGTTTTTCTACTCCTATTCAAGTACTGACCTTTTCTTCTGTTTCCTGCAGGTACCCCAAGAGGGGTTGGCGGCTTGTGGCTTGAGGCCTTGGCATTTGCCAGTGGCATGAATCCTTGGGGTTGGCTAATCTCGAATCCGGGCCAGACACAATGGTTCTGTCAGGTATCAGAGCTGACTGCAGCAGCTCTGTTACTTGATGGGGGTCCAAAAGGACAGAACCGGCGTAAATGGGCTCCCGCATGTCTTGATAATAGCAACCCTGAGGATGGGCTAGTCCTCCCTGTGGTGGGGGAGGATGGCTTAATGCCTACTGCCTGCAGCCAGTCCTCCCTGTGGTGGGGGAGGATGGCTCATGCCTCGACAGCCAGTCCTCCCTGGGGTGGGGGAGGATGGCTTAATGCCTCCTGCCTGCAACCAACCCTTCCCAAGGCATGAGACAAGTCATTATACCCATGTGAGTTGTTCCGTTTTCTGCACTTCTGTTTAATGACCGCTCTTTCAGAGAATTAACATTCTGGGTGGCACTGTGCAGGTTATTTATGATTCAACATACAACAGCACCTTTAATGCTGGAGCAACAGCAAGAGCTGTTAGGTAGTCATGTAGTAGTATCAAGTAGAACGTTACTGTTATGTACTATAGTAAGAAGTTATGGATCTTGTCAGAAAGTACTGATACCTACGTCAGTAAGGAGTTATCTTTGTAATGTGCAGCGGTTAATTATGAACAAGTTACCGTATCACTTCATACTAGACTGGCGTAAAAGGGAATACGGTTTACCTCTGCCGATTTTCCGACCTTCAGATCACTCCCGACGATCGGCGACATCAGGCGTCGGATCTCGACGATCTTTTACGTAGAAGGTAAAAGATATATTTTCAGCGCGATCCACGCAACTTACTCTACCCTCATTCTGCGCTAACTTCTCTTCGCAAATTAGATGATGGTGTCGCGGGTTACCCCCTCTGACGCATCGCGCCACCGCGTCGATCCCCGCGGGTGCGGTCCTCTGCGACTCATGCGACCGGCGTGAGTCGCATGCGAGCCGATCAGCCGAATCGCATGCGAGGAACTCGCTGTCGTGCGACCGAATGTTCAGATCCGCCGCAACCGCGGCCGTCGCAGAACCAGGAGGGCCATCGAATAGCCGCGCCGCCGCGTATAATTCACGCACGAATCCATTCGACGCGGTTCCTAGTACCTCTCGTGAACGTGAAGCGCGAACTAACGGGAAGCGCGCGTAGTTTCCGTTGTACCTCTTCCTCCTCTCACCGACTAACGGCTGTTTCCGCCGCGAGCGGTGCAAGCAAAGCCTCAGGCGAATCCGAGCCGTCCGTATCAGCTCAGATCCGCGAGATCGGGGAAGAGGAGCCCGGCTTGCGCGGAAGGTTCCTGCAGGATGACGTGGGTCCGAACCAGGTGGTTCTCGAGGCGCAGGCGCGCGTGTGCACGGGACCCACGCAGACCCGGCCGTTGGGCGAAGAGGAGATGCGGCGCGTGTTGGAGCAGATCTTGCTCTCAGGTGTGCCCTCAGGTGTTCTGTCAGGTGCGACCCCAGATGTTCTGTCAGGTTTGCGCCCCCCAGGTTTTCTGTCACGTGTTCTGTCAGGCATGGTAATGTGCGCCAACTGCCTTCCCCCCACCATCCCCCCTCATCTCTCTCGTGCCACTGCCCTGCCCCCCGCCCCCTGCCCCCTGCCCCCTGCCCCCTCCCCCACTGCCACATACACCAGCAAAGGGCGAGCTCCCCCCATCAGTGCGCGTCTCACGCGCACAGATCGGGGTGTTCTCTGCGGGCATGACAGTGCGCGCCAACTGCTTCCCCCCAGCTACGCAGTGGAGTGAGTGAGGGGGAGAGGCGGGCGCTAGTTGACATGTGGCCCGCCCTCAGATACCACCTCCCCCGAGACGTGCTCTTCCTTGCCGACCCTCAGGTGGGTGCTAGGTGAAGGGACCCGATACTGTCTCTTGCTCGGGGGCCCATTTTCAACAATGCTCTCCCTGTGGGTTCCCGTCCCCCTAGCATGGGTCAGAGGAGGAGGGTCAGGTGGTGGGGTGGGGTAGGATGCGGTGGGTGGGATCTTCATGTCTTGTACCTCTCGTGCGTGTCTCAATCTGGAGACTCTCCCCTGTTTGATACAACCTCTCAACCCCTCAGGGTGCCATATTCAACAATGCTCTGCCTGTGGGCCCCACCTTCCTCGGGCATGGGTCGGAGCAGGAGGCTCAGGTGGTGGGGGACCTGAGGGACATTCTGTTCGGCGTGCACCTTGGCTTTCAGGTGAGATCTCAGGTGGAATCTCAGGTGAGGTTTCAGGTTAGATTTCAGGTGAGATTACGCATTCACTTTCTCATTTTAACCCACCAATCATAACATGGTTGCGCATGTTTGTTCTCTGTAGCCTTACGCTGCTTTTGTGTGGTTCCTATGCCACCCAACTGCCTTCCTGTCTGCCCTTCCAGGAGACCATGTCTCTGCTGCAGAACATGCTGCTCATGAGGGGCAGATCTCAGGAGGGAGGAGCAGGGCGAGTGTATGAGACATTTCAATCATGTTGATTCTCTCTGGTTCTGCGTGCTCTCCTGTGCCACCCCCACCCCCTCCTTCCAGAAAACCATGTCTCTGCTGCAGAACCTGTTGCCTATGCGGGGCGGATCTCTGGAAGGGGGAGCGGGGGCAGTGATTGATGCACTGGTGGCGGCGTATCTGATCGCCGTGCGCATGAACCGAGAGACCGACAGAGAGCTCAAGGCGTTCTGCCTTGCGTTCGACCAGGCAGGGTGGTGTCAGCACATACGCTGATGGCACCACACATTGCCGCTCCTCCGCTTTCTGCTTACCTTGCTTCCCTGGTCCCAGCCCCAATAGCAAAGGTTACCTCCTTAACTCACTACGGAGAAGCCTACGACGGCAGCACGCGCTTACAACGTTACACACACCCACCCTAACCTCTTCCTCCTCTCACCGACTAGCGGCTGTTTCTGCCGCGAGCGGTGCAAGACAAGCCTCAGGCGAAGCTGAGCCGTCCGATGGATCATGAGTTACTGTAGCTCACATCCAGGTGGTAGCTCTTTCCACCCCAACACGGTACCGGTACATACACATTAGGGAGTAGTCTCTCCTCTCCTGACATTCCACCTCAGCCACTGGTTAGCCAGACATATGCAGCATTCAGCCTAATCCAGTCAGCACTGATTCAGTACCTACCTACTCCAGTGCTTTTTTTGCCCACATACTTGTCCGACTCACAGCAATGTACTACCGTAAAGGCCCTCTGATGTTAGCTACCTGTAAATGGTAGCCCCACAGCATAGTGTGTTATCGTGGTGTTGGACTGTGCACAGAAGGTTTTGGTAGGCTGCAACCTTTGGAGGTTATATGCAAACAGGAAGTGCAAACAGGAAGCGTAGCAAAGCAGTTTTTCTGTTCACACAGGCCTAGGAGAGCCAGGGTTCTTCTTCAGACAGATACCGTACATCACCTCAATAGTGAGGTTCACGCTCTTTGCTAGAACAACACACAGATCCCAAACAAGGGGGCACGACACTAGAACACCACTACGCTATCACAACCATCTCAAACACAAGATCCCCCCCCCCTCCTCCCCCCTCCCGAAGTGTACATCAACAGACTCGCAAACTTCGCGTTCACTTGGTGGCGGGCTGGGAGGCGGGCTCGGGCGCCTGGGTGGCGAACTTGGTGCCCTTGTCAATGCTGCCCTTGAGCTCCGCAACGACTCAAAAGGTTTACTTGGTGGCGGGCTGGGCGGCGGGCTCGGGCGCCTGGGTGGCGAACTTGGTGCCCTTGTCGATGCTGCCCTTGAGCTCCGCCACCATGGCGTCCAGCCCCGCCTTCTCCGCTGGCGACAGCCCCTCCAGCTCCGACGGCAGGAACGCCTCGAGACCCTCGCGCCCCAGCTTCACTCGCGACGCGAAGTATGGCAGCTCCGTCACCTGCGGAGGGGGAAGCGCGAACAGCGGGGTGGGGTGGAGGGGGGGGGGGGAGTCGGTGGGGGAGTGGGGGTGGTGCAGATGGTGCAGATGGTGCGGGTAGTGGGGAGAAGTGTAAAATAGGAGAAGAGACGGTTGATGGGAGGATGCGTGAGGCGGTGAGACGAGAAACGGAGGTCATGGCGAGAGAGAGAGGAAGCAGGTAAGGCGAGAAAAGGCGTGGACGTACGTCGGAGGCGACGTAGGTGCACTCGAAGACGTCGGGATCGCCGTCCATGGCACGCATGCACGACTCAGCGAACCGCGCCGCCGCATACGCCTGCAGGGACACGAGGCAGCGCGAGAAAAGGGAAAACACGGCGAGTTTAGCGAGTGACGGGGTGGAGTAAGGGTCTACAGGACAAAAGGACAGTGAAAACAAATGCAGTGGATACGGGAGAAGGTGAATGGCGATAGAGAAGGACGAGGGATGGAGAGGGATAAGCAGAACGAGGGCCAGAGGACAGGCAATGGAATGTTAAAACGCAAGCGGTTGTGCGATCGTACCATGGAGAGGGTGGCAGAACCGGCTCCTGCCTTGGCCTGTCAGCAACAATGGGAAGACGCAAGGAGAGAGACGGCGGTCAGCTTACGCGAGCAAGCAAGATAAGGGACAAAAAAACATAGAGGGGTGGTGTGATCTGACCGCCACCCCCGGCGGCAGCGCGAGTACCAAGTTATGTATCTATGTCCGTTCGCTTCATTACATACACTCAGGGTCACACGTTGATAGCTTTCGTCTAAATCCTCTCCCGGGCATCTCACCTCAACGACTTCCGTGCCGGCGTTTTGGATGCGAACCGTCAGCTTGGCGGCCTCGTCCTCCGTCAGCGTGACGGCCGGCTTGGCCTTCGACAGCAGCGGCAGGATGGTGGCCCCGGCATGGCCGCCGATCACGGGCACGTCCACGTCGATCATCCGCAGCCCCTTGAGCTCCGCGAGGAAGGTGTTCGCGCGCACCACGTCGAGCGTCGTCACGCCGAAGAGCTTCCGCGGGTCCCACACGCCCTTCGATTTAAGCACCTCCGCGGCGATGGGGACGGTGCTGTTAACGGGGTTGGTGATGACGTTGATCCAGGCCTTGGGGCAGTGGTCGGCCGCGGCCTCGACGAGCTTCTTCACGATGCCCGCGTTGATGTTGAACAGGTCGTCGCGCGTCATGCCGGGCTTGCGCGGCACGCCGGCGGGAATGATGACGAGATCTGCACCGTCCAATGCCGCGCCCAGTTGATCTGCGCCGTTAAAAGCCTTCACCTGTGGAAGATCGGGGGAGAGGAAGAAGCGGGAAAAGGTTGAAGGGGAGGATAGGCGAAGAAAAAGAAGGGTGCGCGCGGCAGAGGCAGCACAGCAAGACTGGTTGTTTCCGTGAGTACTCTAGATGAATAACCGCGAGAGCACGGGTATGAGAACAGAACGTTGGATTTTCCCAAGTTCGGCAAAAGATGCGTCGCGAGACGTCATTCTAGACCTTTCAAATCGTACCTTTGCGGGCGTGTTGCAGTGGCTGACGTCAGCTCCGACTCCTGCAACGTTGGCGATATCGTACAGGCGTAGCTCCGACACGAGAGGCGACATCTTGAGGAGCAGCGACAGCGGCTGCCCGATCCCTCCAGCCGCGCCGAGTAGCGCAACCTTGATCTCCGCGGACGCAACGGGGGAAACGGTTTGGCGGGAAGCTGCAGCTGGAACTGCGGAGGCGCGCGCGGATAAGATCGCCCGGAGGGGATTGCCGGGAGCCGAGGTTGATGAAACGGACTTCAACCCATTAAAGGAAGCGAAGGATGCGGGCGCGAGCTGTGGGACTGCGGATCGGCGCGTGGATGTGTGGGCCGCCTCGGAGAACGACACAGTGCCGACGGCTGCGTGAGACGCGCAAAGGGCGTTAGCTGCCATGTCTGCTCTCACAGAGGGACAAAAGGCGGCGATAGAGGATCTGCTGGAGAAAAAGGCGGCTTGATCGATTGATCAAACAAAGATCCACACAAAAATGATCGAAACTGGTTGTTCAGAAGACATGGCGAAAGTCAAATGGCAGAATAGGAGTGATTTGTAGGAAAAGTGAGTGGGAAGAGGCGGGGAGAGGAGGAGGGCTTGTGTTGGACGGTGGGAGATGGATCCAGTTGCGATTGTGAGCGGGAGAGGGCGAAGAGGGGACAACGATAGGAAGGTTCCGTTAATTTTGTAACGCGAATGAATAGCGGGGCAGGTCGACACGTGGGATCACTCGCAGCGTACTGTAAGTCCACGAAAGCAACATTTGTAGTGGTTACCCTGTCGTTTCAGCTTCCTTAGTGGTCAGGGGTGCTGCTGAATCTCTCTGACGGGTTCGCTCACACGTTACATCTGGTTTAGCGACTCGCCACGCAGCTTAAAGAATGCCACATCGACACGCGCGATAACATTGGGGAACCAATTACTGGGAGTCGTCTCCCGCTTCTGTTCCACTTCATCTCGCCCGTGTGGCGTGTTCGAATCAGTGGGTCGCGGCGAGGGTAGTCAGGCCGAAGCAAGTGCCGCCTTCCAGCACAGAATGGATTTTCTTTGCCAAGCTGACTGGTTGCTGAAAACCTCTTGCGGCGCGGTAACAACCAGTAAAAGCAGCCCACCTGATAGAAAGCTGGCCCAATTATGGGATGGAAACAGGTGATGCGACATCTGGGGACATAGCATTGGGCCGTGCCAGGTCATAATCGATCGGGAACTTCCACGACACCCCAGAAAATCGGACCTCGATGGGTGTCAGTGAATAAGTACAGTCCCGAGCAAGTAGACAGCATATCAAAATTAAGTAAGAACATGGGCTCTCATGAATCATAGCAATTGTTTTAGCTCTATGTTTGGTGGATAATTTTTAGAATTTACAAAAAATACAGGGATTGCGCATTTATATGTAATACTTGTTTTCCACATGAGTTTGCTGGAAATCTTTCCAGCGAGTACATGAGTGTAATATTGTATTTATATTTTCGTAAATAGGTGTTTTTTCTGTGAACATTGTGCTGTGATAGCAAAGAAGTAGAAGTTTCTTGTATGCCAAATTAGTTATCATAATATATAGAACATTCTCCATGAACAGCCACCTCCTCCTGAGTGCCATTTCCGCTCCTTGATCCAATACCCCGACCGACAACACCGCATCCCTTTGCCCTGTTGTTAGAGGGATGCTGCTCAATCCCTTCCTCTCCAAAAGATTCCACACTGATCAGTTGATCTTAATTTCTGCAAGCCTTGGTATATTTTAGTAAACCTTGGTTGCATCACCATCCCGGAGAATTTTGTTCCCGCTGTGCGCTGATTGCGTCAATCTGAGCTTCGTTCTTGTTCTACCTGTTGAAGGTAGATCTACTTCTTTCACGCATCCTCGTCATCATGCTCGTCTTTCACATTCCAATGTCGGCTACCCTAATTCGCAGTCGTTGTACAAACATTCACGCATGATTCTCGTTCCGTCCAGCCATTTAGGGTTCCGCTGTTCACAAGCACGCTCACTGCCTTCTCCTTGATCGCGATCCTCTTGTCTGCTCCCTCTCCCTTCACAGTGCTTCTCGATCGGATCAATCTTCGTCGCAGCCGTTGTGCGACGTCGCCGCGATGGCCACGCCGCCGCCCAAGAGGGGTTTCGTCGTGAGCGGCAAGGCAATCGAGGACATGAAAGTCGCAGAGCTCAAGAGCGTGCTAAAGCGTCACAATCTGCCGCTGTCGGGTGTTAAGCGAGATCTTGCGGAGCGGCTTCGGGTGCATCTAGCCCAACAGCAACAGCAGGAAGCGGATCAGAAGATGTCTGATGTGCAACAGCAGCAGCAGCAAGAGGCGAAAGCGAAGGAGGAGAAAGCACAAGAGAACGATTCAGGCTCAGACGTGCAAGAGGCGCCGATTCAGGCGGACGAGACGGCCAAGGGCGAGGCAGCGGCAGGGGAGGATAGCAAGGCGAGGAAGGGAGATGGCGATGCTGAAAACGGTGACGAGGTGACTCCGGTGGTGCTTTTCCAGGAAGAGAAGGAGGGGAAAGAGGGGAAGGACGGAAAAGAAGGGAAAGAGGGGGAAGAGTGTAAGGAGGGTAAAGGAGACGATGATAAGGTTAAGCATGAGGAGATGGAGCGGCAGGGGAAGGAGGGAGGTCAGCAGGGCGAGGAGGATAAGCCAACGGGATCGGATCGAGGCTCAGAAGAGGTAAGGGCCGCTGATGCCGCTACTGGTGGAGGTGGTGAGGGGGGCGCGCCGGCTGCTGGTGCTGCTGCTGCGGGTGCTGCTGCTGCCGCTGCTGATGGTGATGGTGATGGGGATGGTGGAGGTTCTGTTGCTGCTTCTGGTTCGGAGGGCAAGAGGGAGGAATTTGAAGTGGCCGCAGCGACGACGAAAGGGGACGACCAGGTAAAGTCTGATGGGCACGCCGCGGGGATGGCTGATACGGGTAAGGGGGATAGTGCGGGGTTAGGTTCTGCATTAGATGCTTCTGCTGATGCCACTGCCACTGCTGCTGCTGCCCCTGCTGCTGCCGCTCCTCCTCCTGCTTCCCCTCCTGCTGCTCCCCCTGCTGCTGCATCTGTTCCTCCTGTAGCTACACCTGCCGCCGCCTCTGCGGATACAGTCCCTGCTGGCACTGCTGCCACATCTGACGGCCCTGGGGCGCCGGGATCTGGGGTAGGTGCATCTGAGGAGGCCGAAAATGACAAAGGAACCGTCGGATCTGAAGCCGAGGGCAAGTCGACGGCGCAGGTGGAGCCGGAAAAGGCGGAGAAAGGCGGCGACGAAGGGGCGCGGGGGGAGGGGAGGAAGGAGGAGGAGGAGCAGAGGGATGGTATGGATGTTGACGGAACGGAAGGGAGGGGGGACGGTGAGAAGGCGGAAGAGGGAGAGAAGGCTGAGCGACCGGCAGAGAAGGATACTGAGATGAAGGACGATGCGAGCATTGATGAGAGGAATGAGGAGAGGATTGTGAAGAGGGAGGGGAAGAGTGAGGAGAGGAGGGAGGAGAAGAGTGAGGAGAAGAACGAGAAAGAGGAGACGGCGCGCGAGGAAAGGAGGAGTGACGTGGAAGGGAAGGCTCGCGAGAAGGACGAGGAGATGAGAGACGAAGAGGGCAAGGAGGAGGAGGGGAAAGAGGAGGAGGGACGGGATTTGATGATAGAGGCGGATACCGATCTCGTGGGGGAGCTAGAGGCGGAAGCGGAAGAGGCGGAGGCGGAAGCGGGGGCGCTCGCGAAGCAAGGACGTGGGCTTAGGCGCGGGGGTGCCGCGCTGGCGGAAAGGAAATCGGGGAAAGAGGAGGGCGCGCGGAGAGAGGAAGGCGTCGCGGCGGAGAAGCGTGGGCGGGCAGGGGGTGTCGCGCGCGCGGGGGTGAATGGGGCGGACGGGAAGAGGGAGCGCGCAGGGGAGGATGTGGCGGTTGTAGCGCGGAGGAGGGAGGAACGACCTTCAGGCGGGGGTGGTGAGTGGCGTTGGGGGATGTATGTATGTATGGATGGAGGGTGGCTAATGAGGAAGGGTGGTGCGCTGTCTGTACGCGGGGGTGCTTGTGCGTGCCACTGTCTGCTATGCGCGGGGAACATCATATTGTGTGTGCGACTGTGCCCTTTTTAAGAAATTCCCCTCGTGTTTGTCCCTAAACCCGAAACCTCAAACCTCGTCTCGTGTCGCTCGCCCCAGTTCCCGCCCTCCTCTTCCTGTCTTCCTCATCCACTCGTCTCCCCTCTCTTTCCTCCCCGTTCTCGCCTCTCCCCCTCCCACCTCCCACGTTCCCCGCTCCCCCCCCCGCTCCCCCCCCCCCCCCCCAGCAGCAGAGGAGTCCCCCCGTCCCCCCGACGCCAAGCGCCTACGCAGATGGAGCGCGTCCAAAACATCCCCACCTGCCCCCGCCACCACTGCTGCCGCCGCCGCGCCTAGCGCGGCCGCCACTCCCGCCCCTGCGTCAGCAGCAGCAGCAGCAGCCGCAGGTGGTGTGGAGGAAGCAGGAAAGGCAGGGGGTGCTGGCGCAGGCAGCAACCGGGCAGTTAGCACTGCTGGTGGAGGGGGAGGGTCAGCTGGAACAGGCTTATCTGCACCAGCTGTTGCTGCTGCAGCAGAAAAGGCAGGAGACGGGAAAGCGGGTTCTGGGTCAGGTGCTGCTGATGGTGCAGCGGGTGCGAGGGCTGTGTCAGCGGGAGGTATGGCTCGCAGCGGCAGTGACGGGAAAGGGGTTGCTGTGGGTGCAGGCACTGCCGCTGCTGCCGCCGCTGCTGCCGGTGCTGCTGCTGGTGGTGGTAACCGTGTGGTGAAGTCGCTCAGTGGACGTGGCAGCGGGCGATTGGTTGGGGCTGGAGCGAGGGAGGCAGCGCAAGAGAAAGAAGATGGTATTGTACCTCGTGTTTCTACCCTCTTAGCATGTGCCTCTCTCATTCAAGCCTCAATTCTTGGATCCTCTATCCTCGCCCTGCCTCTTCTCGCTCGCCCCCTCGTCGTGTGCTCCACCCCCCTCGCACTCTTGCTGATTCACCACCCCGTTGGAAAGGTAGTTCCTTTTTCGCCGAGCCTCTCGCAACGTTTTGGTGTTTTGCTGAGTCATCAAACCCCAAAGGCCTGGCCTCCTTAGCAATGGTTCCAACCTGGTCGATGCTTCTGGCACTTTCTCAATCTATGCCAGTGACTGTTTGCAATTGTTCAAGCAAACAGACGTTTCCGGCCATGAAGAAAGTGCAGACCTAAAGCTGTAATAAAAAATGTAACGGGACGTGAGTCTTGTTTCATACAGTATTCAGTGCAACGCATTCAGTGCCAGTGATTTGTTCTGCTCCAACACCCAAAGGGCCAGATTGTGAAGTTTTGGGGGTGTATGTGTGGCAAACACGACTAGGGATTCCCCGGCCGATTACTTGAAGTCTTGCAAACAATGATTGCACAGAAATACGACAATAAAACGTAAAACACAATTAACCCTTTTCCCTCGCCCTTCCCTCCCCTCTCCCTTTCCGTGCCGGCATTGCCGCCCCACTGGTCCCACTGTGTGTGCGTGTGTGTGTGTGAGCATGGGAGCGCCCCCGCCAGTGGAGCCAGTGACGGAGTCGTTGCACATAGACAACTTCTTAGTCCACTCAACTTTCTGTCCAACTTTCTGTCCTCTCTCCCTTCCCTTGCGGGCTTTGCCGTCCCACTGATTGATGGCACGTTGTGTGTGTGTGTGTGTGTGTGTGTGTGTGTGTGTGTGTGTGTGTGTGTGTGTGTGTGTGCGTGTGTGTGTGTGTGTGTGTGTGTGTGTGTGTGTGTGATTGGTTGGCACTGTGTGTGCGTGTGTGTGAGCATGGCAGCGCCCCCGCCAGTGGAGCCAGTGACGGAGTCGCTGCGCATAGACAACTTTGTGCGCCCCTTCACGCAGCAGCAGGTCAAGGACCTGCTCTCAAGCAACGCCCGCTCGCTGCTGCACTACTGGATGGACGGCATCCGCACCCACTGCTACGTCACCGTGCGTATCCTCCCCAATTCCCCGCCTCCCTGCCTCTCTTCTTTCCATCCAGTCGCTCTGCCTCCCCCCTTCCTGCATCGTCCTTGCCCTTGGCAACCTCTTGCCATTAGTGTCATTTCCTATTGCCGCCTAGTTGTTTTGGCAACCTCTTTGCCACTCTCCAGAAACGCACTTGGTTTTCACAGGTTTTGTTCTGCACTTCCGTGCTCTGCTTCTATCCTCCGCCACTCCCCACTTGCCGCCATTATTTCACTATGTTTCTCCAATCCCATTCTCCACCCCCTCTGTTCCCTGTTTCCAACCTTATTCTCTCACCCCAAAACCTCAACTCGCTGCACAGTTTGCATCAGAAGAAGAGGCAAAGGCAGCGAGGTCGGAGGTGTGGGGATTGCGCTTCCCGTTGAGGGGAGGCAACCTGCTCACAGCCAGATTTGTGTCCAAAGAGGAGGTCCTGGCACGGGTTAACGGCCTTCCCATTCCTCCTCCTCCTGCTGCTGCTGCTGCTGCTGCGGCCGGTGCTGCTGCCAATTCCGCTGCTCCTGGGGCTGCTGCTGCTGCTGTGGATGTCAAAGCGGGTGCGGCTAGCGCTGCTGGCGCTGGGAAGGAGAAGCCAGGAGCAAAAGCGGCAGAAGCTCCCCCTGCTGCTGAGAGTAAGTCAAGTCATTCACAGGTCAATCAGAAACTCTTGCGGCTCTTCAACAGCTGTTTTCATGTTTCTTGTGTTTGGGCTCTCTTGGAATCTGTCCTCCTTTTCATTCATCTTTCTATGACCCTGTCTCTTGTCAGTGATTTCTCTCACGAGTTCTCACTGTTTGCTTGTTTCTTCCTGTTTCCGTGCACCCCTCCCGTCCCATCAGCCAAGGCAGCATCGCCCCCAGCAGCAACATCTGCGCAAGATAGGGCTGAAAAGGCAGCAAAAGCAGCCACAGCAGGCACAGCGAGCGCGAGTGAGAGGAGAGCAGGGCCAGGCGGTTCTGCGGCAGCAGCAGCCCCTACCTCCGGCTCCGCTGCAGCAGCAGCAGCAGCGGCGGCAGCTGCAGCGGCAATGGCGGGCGTGGGTGCAGTGGCAGCTGCAACAGCGAGGAAGGCAGCAGAGGCAGAGCCGGACCCGTTGCCGTCGCTGGATGACTTGTTTCGGAGGACCAAGGCCAAGCCGCAGATCTACTTCCTGCCTCTCACAGACGAGCAAGTGGCTGCCAAGCTGGCTGTGGCCAATCAGAGGAAGCTGGCTGCTGCTGGTGCTGCTGGGGCAGCCCCCCCTGCTGCTGCTGCTGCTGCTGGTGGTGCTAGTATGGTAACAGCTGCTGGTACTGCTGGTTCTGGCAGTCCTGCTGCTGCTCCTGGTGGTGGTGATGCTGGGGTGCATGGCACTACCGGTAATGGGGTGGAGGAAGCAGGGAATGCAACTGCTGTGAGAGCGAGGGGGTGAGATGAGAGCACCAGTTGTGGTGTTGGGTTGGAAGTTTGTTTCGCTCTTGTGCCGCTCGTGCATCTGTGTATTGGATTGGATGGGTGAGCCCCTTTTTCGTGTTCTCCCTCTTTCCACACAGTGTTTGAAGTGCCTTGTGTGGTTTAGGGATGCAGCAGGAGCACATACGGTACCCTGTGTTGGTGGTGTCTTCCGTCACGGGCGTCACGGTGCTTGTCTTGTGTGCCTTGTGTGCTCCTCGTAAATCCCACCGCCACTTTGGCTTCACTGCCAAAGAATTGACACCGCAAAGTAACTTGATACATACCGTACTCCTTTACTAACTTTGCATCATGCATGCATCTGTAAGTGGTTTGCAAGTGAATTGATTTTGTTATGGGACAACACTGCATCCTAGCTCTACTAGCAACAAATACCCCCCTGTACGTAGCCATTGCCACAGTTTTAGGAGTTGATCTCCAGTGAACCTGAGTGGAATTACGCAACTCGGTATTCCATTCCTTATGATATAATAATTTACATCTTCGTTCGAGAGTTCTCGTACACTATAGGATGTTTGAAGCGTCTGTAGCGGATTAACGGAATTGATCCGTCTCCAAAGCGTCAGTTCACCACCGTCTAGCAACCAAACCGTATGTTCGTGGCGAATAGGAACTGTGGCTGCGCCGGGGGAATCCCGCCGACCCTCATTCGACAACACTGGGGGAAGCGGAAGCTCGTCGCTCGCAAACTACTGTTGGAAGCTGGCATGGGTTGGTCGCACGGTTTTGCCACTCGCGATGAGTGGCTCCCCCGAGTGCTCAAGAGGGCCGCTTCGGCTCCGAGAACCCAAGCCGCGGTGCGGGTCGCTTGAGGCAGCCTTTGATGCACACTTGCTCGCAAGTGGCTTCCTGCTGTTGTGAGTTTCGTGAAATGTGTTGTCGTTCAGCTCGCTCGACATAGCTACAACTGTTACGAAGGATCTCACCATCAAATAATCAAACACAGTTCGCGAAGGCATTGTGTCCCCATGATCAAACAGCAGGGTATCGATCGCATGTTCGCCAGCCTTATGGGCTTTCGAGTCGCTTTTTCTTCGCGGCTCGGTTTGCGATCCGAAGGGGAGCAGCTGGCATTGACCCAACACAATTCCTCTATGGACTCCCGCTTGCTTTGTTCCATGTGGCTGGGGTTTCCGCTTGGCCTTGCATCCTTCCTAATCCCTTCCTTTCGTCCCTCGCCTTGCCTCACTAGTCTTCACTGACCTTGTGGCTAAGAAAACCATCAGCTACCACGGTGCCTCTCCTCAAAACTCTTTCGCGGAGCTTGGATTTTCGTCTCACTGACATTCTTGCCCAGATAAAACTGCTGCTTTCCAGCTCTCAACTATCATCCTTACCCATCGGTCGGCCCTACAAAGACTAGGTTCAGTGCAGCCTCTGCTGATTAAAGGACCACTCTGTTGACAGGTTTCTAGAACTGCTTAAAGGACCCAGAAAGTCGCTAAAGAAGGTCCCTAAAATTCGAAGTGTCTGACGTGATTAGCTCATCGTCACAGTCTCCTCCGCCTGGCCGCATTGCCATTTCTAACGTCTTCCTCTTCCCTACACAATTCCCCACTAGAATAAGCTCGGGGCATGTTTTCAGCACCAAATTCCCGTTTCGTATCGCGGGATTAGTACGGTTGTCACGTCGACCGCCTTCCTTCCCTCCTCTTGACCCCTCGACGGGCCCTTTTCCGCTCTCACCTCCAAATTAGCCCTGGTAACCAGTTTCCGTGTATTGTCAGCATCCCGTGACTTGAACCCTGAGCGCGACATGGATCCGCTCGACCACGGTTCAGACCCGGCGATACCGGCAAGAGGGAGCCGACCCGGTAGCCGTGCGGGGAGCCGGCCTGGAAGTCGTCCGGGCAGCCGGCCCGGCAGCTTAAGCGGCAGCCCGCGTCACTCAAGGAGCCGGTCCAGCGCGTCTATCGGAAGCGATAGCGTCGGCACGCCTGACGGCTCTCCAACGTCTTCTTCCGCGGGGGCGTCGCATCGCGCTAAAATCAGCCCGGAGCGCCGACGAGGCGCAATTGCGCGCGACACGGGCCATGCCGTGGCGGGGAGCTCACGGCCCTCGTCGTCCGCGTCTTCGCGCCACGCACGGCTGGACCGACCGCCGCCATTGGTGCGACCAATCAACGACCCAGAGGGGCCTGACATGGAACTGGATAGCCCCACGTCAGACGACGAAATCACCGATGCGGACCTGATTGCCTATTCTTCTGGCCCGCGACCGCTGCAGCCAACTACCTCGGGAATACCGTCGTCCCCGCCTCCTCTTCTCGCCGACCCGCCCATCGTACCCGGCGGCGATTACTTCTTCGGCCGGCCCAGCTCCATCGGTTCAGCAGACGGCGGCTCGGCTTCTGGCGGTGGGGGTCTTAAGTTCCCCCCGTTGAGCGGGCGCGGAGGACGGCCGGGAGCAAACAAGCCAACGCTCGTCATCCCGCCGGTGATGATCGACGGCGTGACGGTCCCGTCGCCCTCGCCGCAAGAAGCCTCGCCCGACCCGGAAGATATGGCCCCGTCGCCCGCGCCGCTCTTCCATTGGCCGTTCGCCACCAACATGCCGATCATCTCGCCGGGTTTCACGCATCAATCCGCGCAACAGCAGGCCCCCGGTTCCGCCGGGTTCACTCGCGGTGCGGCAACGCGCGCGGACGCGCTTGCGGCGGCCGCCGCCATTGTCGCAGGACTCGGGGACGACACGATCGAAGGCGGGGGACCCATCGCCGCGCCGCCAACGCTTCCGCGAACGCTGTCGCGACAAATGTCGCGGGAGCTCTCCCGCGGGCTGTCCCGCAGCGGCGGCGGCGGAGGAGGCGGCGGCGGGATGGGGGAGATGGGCGGAGGGCTGCAGCGGCAGCTGTCGCGCGCGCTATCGACGGAACTCTGGGACATTCCGCTTTCCACGGTGCCATCAATTTTCTTCTCCGCCACTCCCCGCCGCCAAGCGCCCCCGCCGCCCCCGGTCAACATTGGCGCGACAGTGGCGGCTGACAGCAGCAAGGCGCAAGTGAGTCGGAGGTCTTCGCATTCCAGACTCTGCTGCTTTTCAGCCTGCTTTCCTCGGGTTTATGCTTGCTCTCCTTCAATCCTCATCCCCCGTCCTCTCTCTCTGTCTCTCTCTCTCTCTCTCTCTGACTATCTCTCTCGACTGCGTGAGCAGAATAATTGGTCCGTGACGCTCTGCGGCGCGTGCGGGCGTCACTCCACGTGTCTGTGCGCGGAGGCCGTGATGTGCCCATGCATCACGGTGGGCCGCGTCGCAGTGGCCGTCGATCCCGCCTCCTACTCGCACTGCGGAGCCTCCACGTGCTTCTCGCTGCTCTCCTGTATCTTCTCCTGCCATGTGCGTGCGCTCTACCTCGTCCCCGCCTCCCTTCCTCCCCCCTTCTATTCCTTCCTCTCCCTTCCTCTCCCTTCCTTTCCTGTCTACTCCTCCATTCTTCTGTCTCCTCTACTCTTCTCCCCTCACTTCTGTCTCCCCTTTACCCCCTCTAACCTCCCATCGCCCCCTCCCTTCTCTGCACTCGCCTGTTGCTTCTCTCTCCTTCTGCCACTTCTTATTTCCCTCATCCTCCCCCGTGACTCCCTCCGTTTCCCGCTCTCTCCCTTACGTCCCTCCTGCTTTCCCTATTCCCCTCTTCCGCCGCTCCCCGTTTCCCATTTTCCCCCTCCCTGCCCTCCGCCCTTCCCCTTCTTGCGCGCAGCTCTACTCCGCGACCCTGCGCCACAAGGTGCGGGCGAAGTACGCCATACAGGGCTCCGCGTGCGGGGACTGCTGCGCGCACTGCTTCTGCCACGCCTGCGCGCTCATGCAAGAGCTTCACGAGCTGCAGGTGCGTGTGCCCCCACCGCGCCCCCCGCGCCCACACCCGCGTGTGGGGAAGCTTGTATGCCGCCCGCTTGATGCTTCTCTGCCTACTAGTCAGATAGACCTCTGAGCCCAGTTCAGCTCATTCCGCCCGTTTCACCTCGTTCTATATCACATTCTTCCTCCTACAGGCTGCTCTCCTGATACGTCCATGCCTGCATGTTCTCGCATGTGCTTACAGCTGTCTGCATGTTTCTCGTGTGTGCGCATTGCCCGCACCATTCCCTTCTCAATCCCATCCATCCCTTTCTCCTCGTCCAGCAGAGAGACATCCGGCCGGCCAATTGCTAACAAATACCCTTATAGCATCTGTCCCATCATGTACTTGCCTATGCTTTGGAAACTCATTGCTGACTCTTTCGTGTACTTGCCTCCCAGTTACTCACTTCCACTTTCCTAACTACCCTCCTATTCTCCCTTCTGTGCGTTTCTTCCCTCTCTCTCCCTTGCCTCCCCCTCCCCTGCAATGCTGTGTCGTCGTATGCACCCATTCACTTCCTCCCTCCTCACTTGCTCCCAACCAATCGCTCTCTCTCTCGCTTTTCTTCCGTCAACCATGTCTCTGCCTAAACCTCTCTGCCTCTCACTCTAATTGACGTCTTTTGCCTCACTCGCTGTTCCCGCCTCTCGCCTTTTGCCTTTCACTCTCTGCTTGCATCTCAACCTCTTTGTGCCTCTCGACCTCTTTGCTTCTTATTATCTCTCTTTCTCTCTTCTCTGTTTTCACTCTCATTTTGTTGCTCACCCTCTTTGTGCCCGTCGACATCTCTCACTTCTTTGATTGTCACCCTCTCTCTCTTTGCGTCTCACCCTCGATCTTTGCTTCTCGCCTTCTCTCTTTGCTTCTCACCCCCTCTCTCTCTTTGCTTCTCACCTCCTCTCTCTCTCTGCTTCTCACCTCCTCTCTCTCTCTGCTTCTCACCCTCTCTCTCTCTCTCTGCTTCTCACCCTCTCTCTCTCTCTGCTTCTCACCCTCTCTCTCTCTCTCTCTTCTTCTCACCCTCTCTCTCTCTTCTTCTCACCCTCTCTCTCTCTGCTTCTCGCCCTCTCTCACTTCTTTTCACCATCTCTCTCTCTCTGCTTCTCACCCTCTCTCTCTCTGCTTCTCACCCTCTCTCTCTCTGCTTCTCACCCTCTCTCTCTCTTCTTCTCACCCTCTCTCTCTTCTTCTCACCCTCTCTCTCTCTTCTTCTCACCCTCTCTCTCTCTTCTCACCCTCTCTCTCTCTTCTCACCCTCTCTCTCTCTGCTTCTCACCCTCCCTCTGTTTGCTTCTCGCACTCCCTCTGTTTGCTTCTCGCACTCCCTCTGTTTGCCCTCGCCCTCCCTCTGTTTGCCCTCGCCCTCCCTCTGTTTGCTTCTCGCCCTCTCTCTGTTTGCTTCTCGCCCTTCCTCTGTTTGCTACCCTTTCTCTTTTTGCTTCTCGCCCCTTCTCTGTTTTGCTTCTCGCCCTCTCCCTGTTTTGCCTCTCACAATTTCATTTTGCTCTCACCCTCAATTCCGGCCCCTCTCGTTTCGCCTTACTCTCTTCAATCCTGATTTGCATTGCTGCTTCCACTTTGTCTCTTGGGCCTCACTCTAATATCCTACGCTGCTTTACCTGGATTTTCCATCCTAATACGTTCGTCTCTCTCCTCTTTTTTGAATACCGTTGCATCGTCTGGCTTTTGTTTGGCTGCTGTTCTCCACGCTCCTCCATCCCTCCCTGTGTGCTGTTTCTCTCTCCTTTCCTTCTTTCTTTCTCTTCTTGTCTTCCCTAATCGATATAAAATATCATTCTCTGCTACTCCTATTCCCTTTCCCTTAATGTCTTATCCCTTGGGATTCCAAATTATCACCTTCGCTCTGTGTCTCCTTTTCTCTTCTCTTCATACAACTCTAACCTTCCTCTTTTTCCACTGAACTTACTCCCTTCTCTCTGGTTGATCCTCAATCTTTCATTGTCTACACATTATTTGATTATTTCCTCCTTCGCTCGCACCACACTACTCCACACGTCACATGTTCTTTGCATGTGCTTTCTTCGCACTACTCGCCTCTACTGCTCCTCTCGTCTGTTGCTTCGCTCTCCTCCCTTCTCCATCCGCCCCTTTTCGTTGCCCTCTCTCTCTCTCTCCTCTCTTGTTGTATCCTCCGCCCCCCCTTCTCCTCTCCCTTCTCCTTCCCCTTCTCCCCCCCCTTTCTCCTTCCCCTTCTCCTTCCCCTTCCCTTCCCCTTCTCCTTCTCCTTTCCCTTCTCCTCCCCCTTCCCTCCCCTCTTCTCCTTCCCCTCCCCCTCGCTCTCCACCCCCACACCTTACCTCCCCTTTCCCCTTCCCATCCTCCACCTTCCCTACTGTTTCTCCATTCCCCCTCCGCCTCTACTCCTCCTATCCCCCTCCCCTTCCCCATCTCCCTCCCCCTCTCCCTCCCCCACCCGCTCTCCCTCCCCCTCTCCCTCCCCCTTCCTCCTTCCCTTCCCCCTCTTCCTCCCCTCCCCCCTCCCTTTCCCCTCCTGCGCCACTGCCCCTCCGCCACCCCCTCCACCTACACACGCGCCCATCACCACATGTCACCTTGTGTCGCACACAAGCAGGTGCACGGAGATGCGCCGTTCCAAGGAGGGAACTCCAAGAAGGTGGCGCCAGTGGAGCAGACCATGCGCCGAGTCACCTCCATCCCCGGCTGATCTCACCACACACCACACATCACCCCTGAAATCCTCTACCCATCCCATCCTCCTCCACTTCTTCCCACTACTAGCCCCGCTCCTCCTCCTATCCTGCCCTCTCCCTACTACCACCAGTGGAAATCACTGGTCCGTCCAGATGAAACCACCAGCACCTCCCCCCCCCTCACTCCATCCCAGCCTGAGACTCTCTATCATCCTACTCCTAGTCACCTGCCCCTGCCTCAAGCAGTCTCCTCTCTCTCTCTCTCTTGTACTCTATAGCCATGCGCAAGTGGGTTCTGAAGAAGCGGCTCGCCAGGGCAACAAGCAGCAGCAGCAGCTGTGCTGGACAGTGCAGCTGGTCAGGTCAGGAACCAAGCTGCAAAGGAAGGCGTTCTGGCTGACTCTTAGGGGAGAGCACCAGCCAGCACTCTCTGCTGCGGCTGTTGCCCCAAAATAAGCTCTAGTACGAGCCTCTGCCGGAAACATCAAGCCCCTTCTTCCGTTGCTTTCCTCCCAGCCTAGAGTTTGTTCGCTTTTTAGGTGTCACGGCATTGTGGCATTGTCTCTAGATTTTGCAGAAGCCTTGGGTTATGCATAAGTATTATTGCACTTATTGTGTCATCCAGTTTTCAATCTTGGTGGGGTTGGCTGATTCATTCATAAGCAACAAAGGTGCATGTATTGAATGGAACCTGGCTAATTAAAGAATGAAGCCGCGAGATGATACAGTACATACCTACCTTGCAACTTCTGCAAGACAATAGTTCATTCCAAACTGAAATCAGAACAACATGACGCAACCATTTTGAGGAATGGAGAATACACTACCGATAGTGCAACTCCACTCCACACCACATCCACCGGTGTGTTTGCACCAGATTCATTTGTATAGCAATGTCAGATCACGAAAGAGACTCGGGCGGGATTTGTGAGAGCACAGCTTCCTTCTCATTTTTTCACTAGTGATATAAATTTCGGTTTTGTACAGCACACACACTAGAGGGACTAGATTGATACTTGTTGCGCTTGTGCAAAGGGTAAAATAATCCATCAGATCACAGCCATAACTACCCCCAAATTGCTAGTGTACCTATGAAAAGTATCAGTAGCACCAAACTCTCGGCTGTGGCCAGATTTGAGAGAGCATGCAGTGACACATACCACACCCCACCACTCCTTCACCCATCATCCTTTATCTGCATATGCCATGCCACACCATGGCATGGCCATGCCACACACAGGAGGGGCAGCTGGAGTACTGTGTGTGAAGCGCTGTGCCACTCTCACCACCCCCACCACACTCCACACTTCCAACAGCCCCCCTCTCACCCCTCTGCCTTCCATACCAGCCGCTCACCATCCTCCTCGCCCTCCACCTGCTCCTCCAATCCAACCCTCCTCACCACCTCCACCGCGCCTCCCTACGAGCGCTCATGCCCCCGGGGCCACACGCCTTGAAATCACTTTCGAGAATTCTCAATAGTTTTTTCAACTCGCCACCTCCCCCGCGCCTCCATACGAGCGCTCATGCCCCCGGACCACATGCCTAGACAAGCTCATGCGCCTGCTCACCCTGCTTCTCCCACGAGTATTGGATCGCTTCTTCCCAAGCCACATGCCACCCCTCATGCCCTCTCAACTACCACTTGACTTGCACCATGCCATGGCAGGGCTACCAGTGCCCCATGCCATGGCTTTGCTGCCAATGCCCCCGTGCCATGGCAGGGTTTCAGCTCAAAAAATTTTCGCCCCATTCCCTTCCACTCTACCACACAGGGATTTCAGCCCCCTTCCTCTCCATTCACCCACCCAAAAGGTTTCAGCCCTTTCGTTTCCACTCACCCGCTGATGGGTCCCAGTCCGCATCTTCCACACACCCACCGGGCCTATAGGTTCCACCTCTTTCCCTCTCACTCATAAAAGGGGTGTGAGTCCCTTTCTCTCTCACTCACGCAAGGGGTGTGAGTCCCTTTCCCTCACACTCACACAAGGGGTGTGAGTCCCTTTCCCTCTCACTCACGCAAGGGGTGTGAGTCCCTTTCCCTCTCACTCACGCAAGGGGTGTGAGTCCCTTTCCCTCTCACTCACGCAAGGGGTGTGAGTCCCTTTCCCTCACACTCACGCAAGGGGTGTGAGTCCCTTTCCCTCACACTCACCCACCCAAGGAGTTTCAGCCTCCTGCACATCCACTCACCCACCTACGGAATTTCAGTCTCCACCCCCACACCTTACCTCCCCTTTCCCCTTCCCATCCTCCACCTTCCCTACTGTTTCTCCATTCCCCCTCCGCCTCTACTCCTCCTATCCCCCTCCCCTTCCCCATCTCCCTCCCCCTCTCCCTCCCCCACCCGCTCTCCCTCCCCCTCTCCCTCCCCCTTCCTCCTTCCCTTCCCCCTCTTCCTCCCCTCCCCCCTCCCTT